TCTCTCCCCCGACCCTTCCCTTTCCCTTCCCCCCCTCCTCCAACGTCTGACTCCCCCCCCCTCCCCGGTGCCCCGCCAGGTGCAGCTGCACGTGCTGTTCGAGCACGCGGCGGGCTACGCGCTGCTGGCGGTGCGGCCGACGGAGGAGGTGCAGCTGCTGCAGCCGCAGGTGGAGGAGAGCGCGCTGAGCCTGGGCCGCTTCCTGGCCCTGGTGCGCCTCGAGGCCTTCTCGCCCTTCCGCTCCGCCCAGGCTGCGCTGGAGAACATGAACGCCGTCTCGGAGGGTGAGAGCGGTGGGCGGCCGGGCTGGGGTGGGCCGGGCGTGTGTGTGTGTGGGGGGGGGATCTTCCGCGCTTGACGGACTTCCCAATCCCGCAGGGCTGCTGCACGAGGACCTGCGGCTGCTGCTGGAGACGAGCCTGCCGGCCAAGAAGAAGAAGGTCCTGCTGGGCGTGGGCGACCCCAAGATTGGCGCCGCCATCCAGGAGGAGCTGGGCTACCCGTGCCAGACGGGCGGCGTGGTGGCCGAGCTCTTGCGAGGTGAGCGGGGAGCGGACTGGGCGGGGGGGGGGGGGGGGAGGAAGGGCAGCATGGCCGGAGCTCTGACGCCCCTTCTCCCCCCTCCCGCCCCGCAGGGATCCGCCTGCATTTCCACAGCCTGATCAAGGGCCTGACCGCCCAGGCCGCCTCCAAGGCCCAGCTGGGGCTCGGACACAGCTACTCCCGCGCCAAGGTGAAGTTCAACGTCAACCGGGTGGACAACATGATCATCCAGTCCATCAGCCTCCTCGACCAGCTGGACAAGGATATCAACACCTTCTCCATGCGGGTCAGGTGAGCCGGCTGCCCTCCCTGTTGGGGGGGGCGTTTCTGCAGTGTGTCTGGCTAGACTTGGCACCTGTCCTCCCCCAGGCCCTCCAGGCGCCCTTGGTCCCTGTGGTGGGGGGTAGGTTGGGCTTTCCTGCCTCCTTCAGCTTACCACAGGCAGCTGGGACCCCACCGCTGGCTGTATAGAAAGAGGAGGCACAGCAAAAGGCCCTCCGTGCACCCCAGTCGGGCCACCCCCCGTGCCTGAGCTGTTTGGTTTGTGCGGGCACAGCCTTCCCTTGCACAACAGGAGAGGAAAAGGCGGAGCCAGGAGTGGGCTCCCTTTTGGTTCACGTGCTTTGTCTCTCTTTGTGGCGGCGCAGAGAGTGGTACGGCTATCACTTCCCAGAGCTGATCAAGATCGTGAGCGACAACTACACCTACTGCCGCTTGGCCAAGCTAATCGGGAATCGCAAGGAACTGAGCGAGGAGAGCCTGGAGGCCTTGGAGGAAGTTGTCATGGACTCTGCCAAGGCTCAAGCCATTCTGGATGCC